AATCTCACGTGAGAACTTGAAATGCTTTTGAACGAGCAGATAATGCACGAGGGAGCGGAGGAATACTAGCCGAGTGTCTGCTTCTAATTGCTACGCTGGTCGAATTCTGAATATGCGAGATTGATGAGTCGTAACGCCGAGCAAATGTCTAGGCTTCTAGGCAGCAGGCGATTCGCTTCCAGCACGGTGATGGATAATTTCTTTTCGTGTGACTCGTTCTGCGTTTCAAATTTGTCATGCTGGGTAACCAGAAATCGCATCATTCAACGATCTGTGTACGTACAAAAGTCGTCACGTGAGCGAAAAGCGCTTTGGGAGTGGAATTACAATCGCAATCTGTAACCGGCGAGGGAGGAGCGCTCGCAGTGGTGTCATACCCGCTCAAAGCACATGCTTGGGTGAGCTGAGATCGAGATAGTGACTTGCGAATGTTTCGCGAGAAAGATCGGTGCTGTTTTGCAACCCGGATGGTAACCCTCCACATCCAATAACCTAATTTGAACTTGACATGACGGGCGTTTCACATTTGCCCACCTCACCAATTTCCTCCACACAATCCTCCCCGCTACTCGCCGCAACTTATAACTAGCGCTGACTGCTACCTTCCTTTCGCCAACAGCTAGATCCGCGCCATCATGCACGGGTCTCCCCATCCACATCCAATAACCTGTGTCGCCACGTGTCAGTGCATCGAGTGCGATCAGAATCGAAAAGACATTAGCCTTTCGTGCGCAAACGCGCCTCGTCTGTACAACGCGATGAAGCCACGTTTAGATCCAAGGATTAAAATTTCCGTTCAGTTTCCAGTGCCAGATCCAATATCCATGTTCAAGGCACTGTGATCGACAGGGTGAACGAGCTGAAGGCGGGCTAGAGTATGACCCCAATGCGTCGAATCGCGTTCGCGGTCGATCCCATGCATGCGTTGCCCACGTGGCTGCGGCGACGGGGGTGAAATGCAGCCTGGCATGCGGTGCAGTGCGTTGCTCTCCTCACACGAGATGATGGTTCGGCGGAACAGCTCTGCCTCACGGCCCGGGACGGGCTAAGGGCTGGTTTCGGGAGATGCGGGATGCAAACAGTGACATAATTGGACGGATGAGATTGCAAGGCGAACTCAGCCCGTAGCATGCATGATGCCTCCCTCCTGTCCTCTCTCGTGTACCCTTACCTCTGCCTCCTCTCGCACCCGAGTCAAACCCGCAACTCTGGTTATCCACTCCCGAGTTCTGTCTGACCTGTTTTCCCTACCTCCGGATCCAAAGTTGTTCCATTCTGAGTTGCTCTCCACTTACTGCGGCGTCAATCCTCCTCACCCGCTCTCCTTTTCCGCCCTGCTCGTCACCGCTGCCACTCTTTTGGCTAAGGAGTGCCTTGTTTCAGGTTGGCAGCTTGTTTCTGCCATTTGGTGCACCACCGCCACACACAACTCCACTGCACCGTTTCTTGCCGTTCTCCCTGGATCCGTTTCTCCTGGACCCGTTTCCCCTGATTTGCTTCCCATGATCCGTTCCCCCTGATCCGTTCCCCCTGATCCGTTCCCCCTGATCCGTTCCCCCTGATCCGTTCCCCCTGAATTCGTTCCCCCTGATCCGTTTCCGCTGATCCGTTCCCCCTGATCCGTTCCCCCTGGATCCGCTCCCTTTGGATCCTCTCTTATTGGATCCGCTCCCCCTGAACGCAACCCCTGGATCCGTTTACTGCCTCACCTTTCCCACGTCCATTATCAAACTTCCCGTGTGTCCTGCTCATCCCCTTTCAACCTTGCCTGGCATACCCCCCTTTTCTCCTCTGTTGTTCATCCTGGTCCCCCCTGCGTCTTTGCTCGCGGTCTTTCCTTTGAACTCAAGTCAGCCAGCGACGATTGTTGATCCACTTCATCCTGCGAACTTGCCAAGTCCTCTTTTCAGCAAAGTTTCTCTCCATTTCATTTCGTCGTGTGGCGTTGCTCCTCAGATCCGTTATCCCCCTCGCGTCTTCAGCTGCGGAGTTCGCCCCTCAGCTGCAAAATTCGTAAATCTGTCTGCTGAGAAGTGAAGCGTCTGGCTCCCAACGGGCACCCCGCTGTCGCCATCTGCTTCATCTGCCACCTCCACACACCGGGTACGCACGCCCGTCTTCTTCTCCACACACGGTAAGCGAAGTAAAAGACACGGGCGCTGCACCTCTCTCGCGCCCGTGTTTTCTACCTCGCTTACCGCATGCTTGATGTCAGTGCTGCCCCATCGCAGCACCTCTTTCCCCGCAGTGCTCCCTGTCTGGTTTTTTCTATGTGTCCTCCTCCTTCCCCGGTGGACTCCCTGCCTCACTTTGCATGTCGTGCTCCTCCCCTTCTGCTACTCACTTTGCATGTCGTGCTCCTTCTTTCTGCTGCTCACTTTGCATGTCGTGCTCCTCCCCTTCTGCTGCTCACTTTGCATGTTTCTAATTATCTTATCCTTTTTCAGTTCAGCTTGCCTTTACCGGTTCATAATCAGATCGGTTCATGTTCTAATCAACTTCCGGAATTTGCTCCTATTTAACTTGCCTCTGCTCCTTGTATTGATATTTTGTAGTATATCATCAAATTCTTCGACTGTCACCATAATAGCGTTGGTTTATCATTCTTTCCCCTCCTCTCTTTTTTGGCCAGCCAGATACTTCAGCCCATTGTTAGAATTCACCGTCTCCTTTCCTCCCTCTGCCATGCTTTATGCACCTCAACCCCGTGCCTTCTTCCAACCACGCGCACCACCTCCTCAGCAGCCCGTCCCCTGCTACCACCACCAAATCGTGCCTCTCGCTTCAGCCGCTTCGCCAGTCATTGGCTCTTGAGGTGAGTAGGTCGTGAGGTGGGAAGTTCGTAAGGTTGTAGTTTGTGTGGTGGGTAGGTCGTGTGAAGTGGGTAGTTCGTGAGGTGGGTAGGTCGTGTAACCCTGCCTTCCTTGACCTTCAGAATATCTATGTATTTTCTGTGCGTCCTTCCCTTGCTGCTGCTTCAGTACCATGCATCCTGTTGTCTTTCTCTTCCACTTTATTCCCACTCACCGTATGCCTCATCCATGTATTCCACATACTTGGCCTGTCCATTACTTCATCTGCCACCAGATTGGGCTTTCTGTTTTAAGCGCTCTAGCCAGTCCAAGCCACCCAGCCGGTCCGTGCCACCCAGCCGGTCCGTGCCACCCAGCCGGTCCGCGTCAGCCCGCCACTCATCTACCGAGGCACCTATGCCCTCATGGCTTTTTCTCTCTGCGTTTCTCTGCCATTCAACAGTTTCACTTTTCCTTCTGCGTGCTTCACCTGGTGCTGCTGCAGCTGCATGCATTTCTTGATACACCAACTCACCAGATTTCTCTTGCATCTCACTCTCCCAGTCCTTGCCCTTTTCTACCGCCCGTTCGTTCATGCTTCCTCCTCTCAATGTCATCATTTTCCATTTAGAATTTACACCCCTCGCCTTGTCACCTGTCCTTGTTGCCTCTTCTCCTTCCCCGCCCCGTCTGCCCTCGTTACCCGCGTCCTCTTTGACGCACTTTCATTCCGCTTCTCCTCCCGCGCAGCCAGGCTCACTCCTGCTTCCCCTCCATCACTCCGCCTTGCATTCACAATGAGCTGTCACTTTGATTACTGCCATTCTGCTGTTTATGGGATGCAGAGCGTGGGAGTGGCTGCTTCATCTGTCTTGGGAAGAATGGCAGGGTCACAGGAGTGGAAAGAGGCGATGGAGATGATAAGAGCTCTTCGCGTGCAGGTGGAAGAGACGAGGGAGGTGGAGGAAGCTGAGCAACGACAAGCGGCGGAGATGAGAGAGCTGAGAGAGAAGGTGGAGGAGAGGGAGAGGGAGCTGAATGCGGTGAAGGGTGAGCTGGCTGAGCAGAAGGTTGCTGTCATGAAGTTGCGCGTTGATCTTGAAATCAGCCAGAGTGAAGGCGATACAAAAGAAGCATGGGAGGTGAGTGCTGAATGAGCAACTTTACAGCGCATGCATTGTTTCATTAGATGTGCATGTGCATTGTTACAACGGGTGTACTAGCCTGTGAGTGACCTAGCCTGTGCTTGTCCTAGCCTGTGGTTGTCCTAGCCTGTGGTTGTCCTTGCCTCACTCACGTAGCCTATTTGTGACCCGGCCAACAATGTACTTGCTTGTATGAGACGTGACATACATAGCATATGGTGTGATTGATTAAGTAGTATTAGCTTATTGTAGCCAGTCAAAACGGCTGCTGTTTCTAATGCTGTACTGAATTTTCTCAAACCTCCTTTGACTGACCTACCTATTTTGTGACAGCGCCTACTCCACCTTCTTGCTGTTAAGTGCGACTTAGCATTGGCTCTGACTGACCTTACTTGTTAGGGAGCTGGCATGGATCTAGCTTGTAACGTGAATATCCCGATGAGTAACGTAACCTCAGCTGACTTCAATCTTGACTGACCTAGCCTTGCGCTAGCCTGTCCGTGACCAGGGTTGTGACCGACCGAGCATGTGAGTGACCAGGGTTGTAACTGACGTAGCCTGTGTTTGACCTAGCTTGTGACTTCCCTTGCTTGTGAGGTCCTAATTCTGCGAGTGACCTACTTCTGGCTCGCCTGGCCTCTGACCTGACCAACAACGAGCGAGATGGTGCTGTTACAATATCTGAACAGTAGCTAGTTCAGACCCTCCCTCCCGGTCGGTCACCCCATTACAATCCCATCCACTCTCCTTACCACCAATGGCCCTCCCGACCACTTTGACTGTCTCATTCCATAAATGCTCTGCTCACCATGTGATGTGCTCTATGTGTGAACAATTGGCGAGTGGAACCGGGCTTGACGCTACCCGCTTAAGCTCGTTTTGTGTGGCCTGCACCCCCTCTCCTTTTTTTTTCATGTGTGTGTCACTGTTTGTGTACCTCCATGCATTCACCTTCAACCGAATTTGACACGCCAGAGTGCCATCAGCGTTGGGCATTTCGCAGAGGGCGGGAGGAGGCTGACATTTAGCTGCAATGGTTGTCGAGGAGGGGGAGGCAAGTGTGATGAGTGAGGCAGTAAGTGGACTGTTGGGGTTAGTGAGAGAGGAGTTGGCAGCATTGAGGGGGGAGCTGGTAGTGGTCAGGGAGGAGGTGGCTCGACAGAAGGAGCGAGTGGCGATGCTGGATGAGAGGAACCGGGATTTGGAAAATGAGTTGAGGCGTGCACTGGGTGCTGTGGAAGAGAGGAGTGTGGCGACTGCTGCTGTGGTGGAGGAGAAGGGGAGAGAGTTGATAGCTGTGAAAGGAGAGCGTGCCGTGCTGAAAGAGGAGGTGGGCCGACAGAATGAGCGAGTGGTGATGCTGGAGGGGAAGAATCAGGTTTTGGAGCGTGAGTTGAATGAATTGAGGCGTGCACTGGGTGTTGTGGGAGAGAGGAGTGCGGTGACTGCTGCTGTGGTGGAGGAGAGGGGGAAGGAGCTGACAACAGTGAAGGAATTGATTGGAGTCAAGGCAGAGTTGATTGCAGTGAATTGGGAGCTGACTGCAGTGAAAGGGGAGTTGGCTGAACACAAGAGGACTATGGCAGAGCAAAGGAGGCATTCTGATTTGAAAGATCTGGGGTCGGAGGTCAGAAAGGGAGAGGTTGAAATAAGAGAGGGGTTGGCAAGGAAGAGAAAGGAGAGGACGAGGGAGGTGCAGGAGTTGGATTGGACGCATGTTATGGAAGAATTGGCAGCTTGTAAGGAATGGCAGAAGATACAAGACATGAAGTTGAATATTGAGTTTGAAATTAGGCAGCATGAAGGCGATCGGAAGAAAGCATTGGAGGTGAGTGCTGAGTTACTGGTTCATGCTTATCGTCCTTTTCCCCGTGTATGCGCTCTTCACGTCACCCATTCATTCCAGAGAAAGCTATCCAAGATAGCTTTGTTTGCAGCATTAGAGGTCAGCCTTAACTTTATTGGTCATACATACGTTCAACAGGGCATTCATCGTTTCCCTTATCTTGTCGTTTTCTCCCACTTCCGTCTCAAAAGGGACTGGTCTGAGGCTTTACTTATTCACTTCTCACTCATCCCCTCCAGAGAATTAAGTCAGCATCTCAAGAGGCCGAACTCGATTTCAAAGGTCTCAGCGGCCTCTCAGACGCCATGCTCGCCCATGTGTCCACAATGACGCATCTGAAGAAGATTGACTGTACCTCTGCCTCAGGCTTCAGTGCAGAAGGCATCAAGCACCTCTACAGGCTGCCACAGCTGGAGGAGCTGGACCTGGATGGCACAATCGTCTCAGATAGTGCCTTGGAAGGCATCGAATCCTTGTCCAGTCTCGAACGCCTTGATCTCCAGAGGACCAAGGTGACTGATGCTGGTCTGCCACGCTTGACAGGCGTTTCCTCTCTCAAGTTACTGTGGCTTACTGATTGCGATGTGACTGCTGCTGGCATGGTGCACGTGGGGAGGCTGACAGGGCTTGAGGAGCTTGCGCTGGATTATACGGCAGTCACGGATGATGGGCTGCAGCAGCTGACTGCCCTCACTCAGCTGACAGCTTCCTGGCCACCAGAGGGGGGTAAACTTACGGGTGATGCTGTACGCAGGCGGATGGGCTGGTAGGATGGCAGGTAGAGATGCTGGAAAGGGATTTGGAGGGTAAAGTTGGCTGTGACTCTCTAGGGGAGACTGAGAAGAAGTGTGGAGGCAAGGGGTGTGATGAGGGACGGCATGCATGTGAATTAGTGAGGCATGGAATGTGGTTGTGCATGGCTGAATAGTGGTCATGGAATGGTGCAGCATATTGCAGCGAATTGAACCAAACAGTTGGCCCATGGCTGTTTGGTCTATTGTGCATGAGGGAAGTTGGATGAGACTGCCTCTGGGTTTCTGGGTGTCCCTGCATAGTGGAATAAGGAAATGCATGAGAGGACAGAAGCTGAGGGCATTTTTTGTAGAGATTGCAAGGTGTGCTTTTGAAACTTGTTCACCTTACTTGGATATGCACGCTTGACCATGTTCTATAATATGTTTGTTGGGGTCCAATACTACAAGTGTATTTTCCAAATCAAACCCACATCTCACTACCTAATCCAATGTCATACGGACTAGCGGCAGTGGCTGCTGGAGAGGACATTATGAAAGCATTTTCTTGGTCGGGGTGGATGCCATGCCATGGGGCGGAGCGGAGGACAGAGGTAAAGCAGGAAGCAGTGCGCCAGTGCTGTGCGGTTGTGATGCGGGCCGATGTGATGTGATACATGCTGCTGTGCACTTGACCGCAAACCTAGCTGTTGAGCAATGTGAAAGACACCAGCCAGCCCTCCTTGTAATGTCCATGACAAGATTAGTGTACAACCACTTCAACTTCTGCCCATCGCACCATCTCCCAAGCAGCACCTACTATGAATGCACAGCAGGCTGCTGACACAGTAAGAGGAGCTGATTCCCTGGAGCTGGAAGAACTGATTCCATGGAGGAGCTGGTAACTTGCAGCTCTTCAAATGCTCTCAGTTTGCGCTTCAGTGGTCCAAACAGCTCGTCCAACTCCCAAGGTCGTTGAATCCACCACAATACATTGACGTGCTTCAGAAAGGCTGCCCCATTGTACTTAAATACAGTGTCTGCACCCATAAAGTGAAGGGCATGACAGAAGGGCAGGGTTGCATAATGGGCAGGGCAGGTATGGGATAAGCGATGGATTGCGTTCTAGGAATGAGGTATGGGATGAGGTATGCTTGCACAGCTGCCTAGAGCACACAGACGTGGCAGCCGATACGACCTTAAAAACTATTTGGAGTGCTCCAGCCATACTAGCTCTGTCCGTGCTCTACGCACCACCTCCCTGGCAACCTCACTTCCCTGCACACCATGGCATAATGTGGAGGTAACTTCTAGAAGCAGCTGCAGGGATAAACATTGTGGGGACTCTCCATGGGGAGGAAGGGAAGAGTAGAGATGTGAGCGGGGAAAGGAGGGGGAGTGGGGACATAAAAGGGGGTTTCGGGTAATAGCCTGGTCTTGACGCAGGAGATGGCGAAATAATGGAAAGGCTATGGGTAGGCTGGAATGGCTGGGGAACAAGGTGGTGGTGGGGAAACAACGAGGATCCAGGGTAGGGAGGACCAGATGGTTTGTGCATGGGGTGATTGTTGATAAGGTGCACCGCACGATGAGATGAAGGACATGTTGTGATTAGATGAATGGTACAATGGTATCGTATAATAAAACTGTTGAGAGCTGCCGTTTCACCCTCTCTCCCCACCCACCCACCACCATAGTGGCTTAAGGACTAGTACTGATTCTCAACTACACATTCTTTGGTGGACCGTGCATGCAGCTCTCATGCCTCCCTCCTGCCCGCGTCCCTCTAGTTGGTGCTGAACGACCTTACCATCACCGCTGCTACAGCAGCCAGTGGCTGCTGCCCGGCTGGTGGGTTGCAGGGATGAGCTGGGCTCCTCGTCAGTGGTCTAACGGAGAGAGCTTTTGGCGTGTCAAGGGAACGGGAATGTGGGGGGGAGATGAAGAAAGGTCGGAGCGCACTGCTGAGCGAGCGAGGAAGGGGGAGTGAAAGATTGCTGGGCATCTCATTACTGGGCTATGCGAGAGTGCTGCTGGCAAGCAAGGAAAGGGAGAATGGAGGAGAGAGGGAAGAAGGTCTTAGTGTACTGCTGTGCAAGGAGAGGGGAGTGGAGATAGCTTATGATAGCATTGCACTCGAGAAGATATTGACCACATTCTGTATTGTCAGCAAACCAGCACTGAAAACTGGCGCTAGTCACTACTAGCAGTGCGGTGATGAGAACCAGCAACATACTGAGATCATGAGATGCACGAGGGAGTAGTGATCAGGTTCACTCTGCCATATAAGCAAACTAGCGCCAAAGCGCAATACTGGCTGAGAATAGGCGAAGGCACAAACAAAGGAAGGCGTGATCAATCAGTAGCAATGGATGGAAGAAGAGGGAGGTGGGTCCCTACTCCACTTCTCTCAGATGCCTAGGATGAGAAAATGACTCAGATTTTCCGCCTTCTCTGCTTCTCTCACCTCCGCATTGGCACGTCGCCCTGCCTGCCATCACCTGAAAAAAAACCATCCACAATCTCACATTCATGGCTCAAAACAGCCCTCCCTCCCATGGGTGGGTCAGTTCACGTCCCATGCCTCCCTCACGCCAGCCTCCACCCCTTTTCCTGCTGACCCACTTCACCGCCACCACTGCAGCTCCGCCATGGTGGGATGCTGCTTCACCGCCATTGGTGCCCAGCAGTGTGCTGCCATGAAGGGGGGGGCATCTGCAGCCATGCTCACCAGTGGTGGGGATAATCTGGGCCCCTCCCAGTTAGTACAGGACAGGTGCTGGTGGTTGGGGAAGTGGAAGGGAGTGGGTGAGAGTCAGGGAGAGGGCAAAGAGGGCTAAAGCATAGATAGAGCAAGGAAAGGGGAGTGGGCGATAGCTGATGGCACTGCACTCGAGAAAACAGTGCTCAGATTCATTATTTCACCAACGAATGAACACCAGAAGCACTATGCTGGGTGCGTATGGAACAAGGCACAAAAGAAGAAAGGTTTGCGCGGCAGCATTAGATGGAAGAAGAGATCTAGGGTGAGAAAATGATTGAGATTCCATACTCGGCTTCTCTCACCTGCACTGCACGTTAGCACGCACCCCTGCCTGCCGTAATCTGAGAAGCTATTCCCAATCATTCCAACTGCCGTCACTACTTAGTGATGCGTCCATTCATAGCGATGGGAGCATAGAAGCATGGTTCCAGCATGCCAGTTAATGGACAAGCAAGGAACGGAGAAGGGAGAAAGGCAATGGAAATATGGGTAGGAGATGCAGCAACATGCATGAGCTTTGCCCTTTACTCAGGGAGACACAGTCCCATTTCCTTCTGCTTCACTTCTTCTCTCAGTCCTAGCCTAGGCATCATGCCCTGTCTCCCAGGCAACACAATGCCTCTGAGCTTGGGAGCATGGGAGCATGGGAGCACGGGAGCACGGGAGCATGGGAGCATGGGAGCATGGGAGCATGGGAGCACGGGAGCACGGGAGCATGGGAGCATGGGAGCATGGGAGCATGGGAGCATGGGAGCATGGGAGCACGGGAGCACGGGAGCACGGGAGCACGGGAGCACGGGAGCATGGGAGCATGGGAGCATGGGAGCATGGGAGCACGGGAGCACGGGAGCAAGGGAGCACGGGAGCACGGGAGCATGGGAGCATGGGAGCATGGGAGACTAAGGGCATGAGAAAATGGGAGAAAGATAGCATGGGATCATGGGAGCACGAAAGAATGCGAGTATGGGGGCATTGAGCATGGGAAAGTGGGAGTACAGGAGCAAGAGATCATGGGGTGGGAACATGGGAGCATAGGAGCATCGGATTAAGAGTATGGGGAGCATGGAGGCAGCGGGGCATGAGAGCATGGAAGCATGGAAGCAAGGGGGCATGGAAGAATGGTTCCAGCATGCCTATAAATGGACAAGCAGAAGGGAGAACGGGAGAAAGGCAACGGAAAAGATGCAAGACCTCTGCCCTTTACTCATGCTAACACAGTCGTCCTACTACTCATTTCTAACCTCCGTTTCAAGTATCATGCCCTGCTTCCCAGGCAACGCAGAAGTAACCTCGAGCACAATTCGCTCATGCCCCATGTAAGAAACAACATGGAGACAAATCAAAGATGCTTCTATTGTTTGAGAAACGATAGACTCACAATACACACATTGCACCCAAGACACGTCTGCCTTTACAAAACTGCTCTATCTTGCAGAACGACACAGCAGCACACCAACCAACCGCAACATATTGCTCTCCAGCAAGCCGCTGCACCTTCGTGCGTACCTCCTGTAGAGTCCTGTATGCGTACACCCCTTCTACTCCTACGCCTTGTGCACTCCTGCACGTACTCCCCCCATTCTTCACACCACTTGCCTCCACGTCCCTCCTCCAAGAAGTCACAGTCAACTCTGCCCTCATGTGTCTCCATCCCCTCCATCACTCTCGGCCCCCGTACCTGCCTAGCCACCCATGCACGTCCTCATCGTAAACCGAGTCCCCATTTGGCAGCCGGAGAGTTGTCAGCTTGGTCAGGGCACTCAGCTGCTGCAGCCCATCATCCGTGACGGGCGTCCAACCTAGCCGAAGGTCCTCAAGCCCGGTCAGCCTCCCCACATGCACCATGCCCGCATCTGTCACACCCCTGCGACCACCAAGCCACAGCTCTTTAAGAGAGGACAGCGCTGTCAGGTGTGACAGACCAGCATCGGTCACTGCATTCTCCAAAAAGTAAAGCTGCTTGAGACTGGTCAAGGCCCCAATGCCTTCCAAGGCACTGTCTGAGACATCTGCTCCCTGGAGGTCTAGCGTTTCCAGCCGAGGCAGCCTGTAGAGGTGCTTGATGCCCTCTGCACTGAAGCCTGAGCTAGAGTCCAAGTTAATGCTTGTCACATGCGTCATGGCAGACACATGGGCGAGCATGGCGTCTGAGACATCATTAAGGCCGTTAAGGTCCAGGTGGGTCTTTTGTGATGCTGACTTGATTGTCTGGTGAAAACGGGGGAAGAAGGTAAACATGGCAAGAAAAGGGATGATCACAGTGACAAGAAAGAACTAGCAAGCGATGCACGCCCAGCCGAACCATGCATGCCTGAAACTATTACCGCAGCACTCACCTCCTATGTTGTCTTCTCATCGCCTTCATTCTGGCTGATCTTCAGCTCAACATCCAACTTGTTGAGAGCATCCTTCAGTTCAGTCACCTCCCCCTTCACTGCAGCCAGCTCTCTCTCCCTCTCTTTCACCTGACCCCTTGACTTCCTTGCCACCACTCGTCTCCTCTCAGCCTCCTCCAACCTTCTCCTTGTCTCTTTCAGCTGCACGCCAAGCGACCTCATTCTCATCTCCATCACCTCACCCAACTCATGTGTTCCGGCCAGTTCAGGATCGTGTCCGTCACCTGCGTGTAACAACAAACACCTTTCACATTGGCATGAGTCCCTTGCACGGGTCGGAGTATCGATGAATGTGATGCAACTCACCACATGCTCGAGCCATGCCATCTGGTACAGCTTCATAGTCACTGTCCCAGTGACCTTCTTGGGCTGGAAGGCGGTCACGGCACAAGCAGTGAAGGCTCCGGACGCAAAGATCATGCCGCTCTTGCTCTCGCTCCAGGCTAACAGAGTGAGATCTTTTGCACACACAATCGACCAATGCAACACGTTGTCAACCAATCTACACACATCATCCCTGGAGTGTTGGCCCCGCCCTCACTTGGGCAACGCCGACGACTTGGTCGGATGTACGGGAATAGCAGCCGACCGTTCACAGTAGGAGAGCTGCTCGACGGGCATCGTCGAGCTGCAGGGGACCGCTGTGGTGCTGCTTGTCAGCTCGACAGCTGCAACTGACTAGTCAGGGCGACGGGTGGGCCGTCGACCAGGAGGGGCAGTTTGACCGGGAGGCCTCCATCGACCAGCAGCTCGACCAGGGGGTCTCCGTCGACCTGCAGCTCGACCGAGAGCAGTCTGTCGACCTGCAGTTTGACCGGGAGGTCGATGGAGCAGACTGTCGACCTGACAAGTGAGCAGCGGTCGACGAGGGGAGCTCGGCGACAACCGCTGACAGTTCTGGTTGACGGAAGGGGTCCGTCGACCAAGGGGTAGCTCTACGGGAGCTGTGGTCGACCAGGGGCACCTGTTGGTCGATCAAAGGGACCTGGTGGTCGACTAGAGGCAGTGGTGGTCGACCGGAAGCACCTGGTGGTCGACCAGGTCGACCGGGTACCCTGCTCGTCGAGTTCGGCGGAGGCACGCGAACGTCGTCGAGGTCGCGATGGCGAAGACGACTGCGGGCTGGCATCGCGAAGTCGAGGTGGCTCGTCGGGCGCAGACAACAACCGACGGATGCCCAACGAGGCAAGTCGGGCCAATCGTCTGCGCGCATTTGCGAGCGTGCGCACTACGGGGCAACGCTGGACAGCCGATCTGGTACAGCGTTGGCACGCCGTCGACCTGCTCTGCTGGCAGGTCGCCCTTCTGCAGTGCCGGCACGGCTCCTCTACGCAACGCTGGCAGGCGGTCGACCGAGCGGTGCTGGCGGTCAACCAGGCTAGCTGCAGGGTTGTTAGGTGCCTGCTGTAGGCATTCTGTCATTGCTTGTTAAATCATTCTGTAATTTCGACTTTGCCTAGTGGAAACTCTTGCCGATTACTCACGTGAATGCGCAAGCGTCAAGGAGTTAAGCAAAGCTACGATCACCTTTAGTAGTTCGTGGCAACCCCGTTGTCCACCTCACTACCGTTGTAGAGTTACTCTCCGCATGCCACACACACGACCGATATTTTTTCTCGGTCGAGCTGTACAGCGCCATCATCGCAATCATGCGCGTGTACAGTGCGGGACAGGGCCGGAACGTGCCTTGTCCTATTGCGATCGTGCAGTACAGTGCACGCACAACATTGCTGACACATGCTCGAGCCTTGAGTGTTTGACCAGTCAAACTTTTGAGGCTCCTAGCACACCACTCACTCACATAAGCCTCTTTTGAAACATTCGAGGCTTACAGCACTCCAATGAGCCTCGCATAAAACATTTGAAGCTCGCCCATACGACCCTCGCATGAAATATTTCTCATGTGACTTTCATAAGAACTCATTTGAGTTCTAGAGGGCCTCGTTTGAGACTTCATGGGAGTCTCATTTGAGCACATCATGTGAGCCTCATTAGAGCACAGCATGTGAGCCTGATTTGAGTGCTTCATGAGAATAGTGAAAATGAAACTGAAGATGCACAAGCACGAAATGCAATTACAAGTGCGCACATAACATCACAGAATGAAAATGAAGAATGCGCACACACAAAATGTGAAATGCGACGCGGACGGCTGGTTGACGTGCAAATAAATAAATATTTGCACTCAACAAACTCCCCCACAAGCATTCCCTTGCTTGCACTCACATGCGCGGGCCTAGTTAGGGCTCATGCCACTCAGCTTAGCACAGCGCCAATGAGGTTCCTCAGCCAGCCGCTTTGTGAGAAAATCAGCCGGCTGCTGCTGCGTCTTCACGTAGAGAAGCTCAAGGGTTCCCCTCTGTACTTCTTTGCGCAGCCAATGCCACTTGATGCGCATGTGCTTGGTAAGCCCATGCAGTACCGCATTCTTGGCCATGGAGATGGCACTTTAGTTGTCACAAAATAGTGGGGCTGATGCCCTCTGCTTATGCTCAATCTCCTCCAGCAGCTTCCGCAACCAAACCAGCTCCTTGGCCGCGTGGTACATTGACATGTATACAGCTTCAGCAGATGAACCTGCAGTTTCCACCTGTTTCTTTGACCTCCAGCTCACGGGTCCTCCCCCAATCACACACAGGTATCCACCCACTGAAGACATGTCCTCTTTCTCTGACGCCCA